AATTGCAATAAGGCTACTTTCCTCAAGGACCCTATTCAACAGCCATATTAGAGTAACAAACCACCGAAACCTTTGATACCCGCAAAATCAATGCTTGCATAAGGTAAATGAGAACATAAGAATGCCCAGTACTAAACTTGAGCAATCAGAATTGACTTCGCATTGCTGAGCTGGCATGGACCTATCGTGCCTCGATACTTACCCTATTGGCTTGAATGAGTGGTTATAGAATAGCCATGTGGGTTGGAATCAACTTGTCCTATACAACGACCAATACCTGCCGGGGGGCCAAGAACCGAACAGATACCAATATATATCAGTGTTCTCGTAGCCAAGGTAGTCCGCAATACACCAATAATACAGTATCGAACAATCATCACATTCACCAACGCCAATAATGTAGGACAGAGGAACAGGTAATCTCTGATTATTGCCACTTTTTGGGCAATAGCTGCATAAGTACAGACGAGAGACTTGAGAGTAATGACCAAGCCAGAACGATGATGCCGTATGACTCCCTAATGAAAGATGCAAAACCATATGCATCCGTAACCACCGTTTCGTCTCCCATTCAATTCTGAGTGCGGTAGAGCAGGTTGTTTTGATTGTCTGCCATGGAGGTGGATGCTTAGAGCGGTATCGAATCAGGTATGTATTCGGTTTTCCAAATCCTCTCGAATAAGGCAACGGCTGCTCTCAAGGGGTGGGCGCTATTGTCAGGCTTACGAGCCGGGGTTGGGGTTCATCTACATAAATGTTAGGATTTATTGATTTGGATCATCTGAATGAGGGAAAAGAGCGTACCTTGCGCTTGCCACCGGTCAGAGTGACGTTGACGAATCGTCGGGTGTATGTGAGCCTCTTCTTAGCACGGCCCTTGGGGGTCTTGGGCTTTTCTTGCTTCTCAACCTATTTCGACGTATTAGTCCTGTATCGCCACGATTGTATCTGTCATTAATTCATCGCATATATGGTAATTGAGATGAAGAAGCGCGCGTTCGTAATGTTCGAAATGATCGGGAATGTAGTCGTTGGTAAGCATTCGGTCGGAGATAGTCGTCGAAGAAAGTGTGGCGAATCATCAATCATCCATCAATTTTCTGCCTTCGCAAATTGCCGTATGCCCGAGGTTTTTGTCGCAATCAAATAATTCGTCGCTAAATCGAACGCGCGCTCCTTCATCGTCGTGGAAACAAAGGTGAGGTTTTCTGGGAATTTTGAATTGACTAACCTTAGGGGTCTGAGACTTGACCTTGCCTGTCGCATAATCAGCATTTAATTCATCAGTTTTTATCCGACAAAATAAACATACCGGCACGGGCGAGAGATCCGTGAACTTTTCCCATCTTGTCGAACTTTTAAAAGTCGTAAAGTTGGCTGTGTGATTTGGTGTCGATGAAGTTGGGAAGGGTTGGGAGAAACGATGTGGGTGGTTTTTTGCAAGTGGGTTTTTTGCGATTTTGCAGGTAAATGGGTAAATGGTTTTTGCTGATGAATTCGCAGGTTCGCAGCGTAGGAGTGGAGCGTGCCAGGGTTTCTAAGCAAAGGAAGAGTCATACCGGAGATAGCTTAGCCACTTAAAGTTCGTTAAATTTTCCACAAAGGGCTAAACAAACCCTGGTCATGTGACTGTGTTTAAACGCATGTGTCGAAGTCTAATCTTTTAGTGGGAACTTTACTGAACGAGAGTGATTAGGTAATGAAGGGCAGGTATCGGCCGATCGGTAAGTTTGAGCGGGTCTAATCTGGACTTTTGAAGCTCAAGCTTGTCAGCTTGTGAATGTCCGTGCAGCTGCAAGTTTCCGACGCTGTGGGCATTGAAGCTGTACGTACTTCGTACATAGCACACAGAATACAACAAGAACAGTACAACAAAAACAACAAATACTCATCATGATTTATATTTACTCTTAACAAGTCCTGTCGCCCAAGTAAGCTTCTCTCATATTTTATTCGTTATTATATAGAATTAATTCACCTCTGTGAAATTCAATGTTCCATAAGTACAACATACTTGTACGTAATTCAGTTTCAGATGACTAGAACGGTTGAGGCAAGCCCCAGACCCGCAATTGCCAATGTGGTCCCACCTGATACATCATTCACATGGGATCGTACTTTAACTTCCAGACCGGTGACCGGCCTCCTTCTCGTTTGATGAAGCTTCGACAGACCGCTAAACGCCATCAATCAAACAGTTCTAGGATTTAATAGAGGACTTGGTTCATTTCGCAATTGTAGATTAAACTTCCAACTCCATCAACCTTCCCGTACTTGCCGGACTTTCGGACTTTTTACGCCTCGTCGTGCTACCAAAGCCTAGCAGCCACCCGTTCGGTACTACATCCAATACCGCAATGAGGATCCTCAACAGCCTATCGTTTATCTCTCTAGCTGCCTGTTCCCATGTGGCTGAGACTGCGCCGGATCAGCAGTATGTCTTCAGCAACCCTCCGGCTTCGGAATCCAATTATAAGATTCCTACTTCCTACGAATCCGCGGTGCTCGGTCGCCGCATCTTAGCTCTTACTCCACTTGGCACGCTTTCCACCGTCTTCCCGGACGCATCCGGGTCCCGCCAGCCAGATGGCCTCGGAGGCATGCCTCTCGGGCTGATGGAGTACGTGGCGGACTGCGAGGAGGACGGCAACCCGACCTTCCTCGCCATCAAGATCGGGTCCAGCTTCAAGAACGTGGATGCGGGCTCGAATATCAGCCTCGCGCAGGAGTGGACACCACCGTACCCACCGGACAAGCGAATCAAGTCGACTTGGTTTAACTGGCTCTTCGGAAGCGACGACGATTCCAAGGATCGTGTTCCCTACAGCGCCGTGAACCTCCCTCGGTACAGCTTGCTCGGCTACATCGAGAAGGTCGACGAGGCGTCTACGCAGGCCATTTCATCGTGTTACGTGGATACTCACCCTGATTCGAAGTACTGGCTTCCCGGCAACCCAATCCACGCATCCGAATTCGTGAGACTTGTCGTGACTCAAGTCTACTGGATTGGCGGATTCGGCGACAGAGCATACATCGGCTGGATCCCCGTCGACGAGTGGAAGAATGTCACCCGGAAGGAATGGGAAGCCGTGAAGCTACCCGGTGAGAAGAAGGGTTGGGATGAATGGAGCTTGGATCTCTAAGCAGAGATCAGCTCCTTAGGGCAATAGATTGCCTTAGACGACTTGTTTAGTAGTTGTACTCGTACTTTGAGAAATTGTTAGGAAATATTGTATGTTGGACGGCTGACGATATCTATGCATCACATGTTTGTACATTCATCTTCGTTCTCTAGCTTGTGGTAGCGGCTAACTACACGAATTTATTCGGAATATCCATATACCTTTATTTAAAGGTTACTTGAGAATTTGTTTCGCTAATTAGTAGTTTCTGAAGCCATTTGCTTAAGTCCAATGAAGGACAATGAATCGGGATCTAACGCTGACGTAACTCACAAACGGGCTATCACGGAACGGTAACAGCGGGATTGGATGCGGGGCTAGGCGTTACCGAGACCGAGTTTAAGTATTACCATCTACACCTTGGGTATCGCGACATTCCACGTGCAACTCACTTTCCCTTGTAAATCATGTAATTCTGTGAAAGTTTCAATATATCTCATATTTAACACATTATTTCCCCGTTATCAATCTCATCATGAGCAACGCAAGCGAGCTAGATGAAGCGCTCCCAGCACTTCCTCTTCCGGAGGGCATCGCATCAGACTACATCGACTGCACCTCCTCCAACGGCCTCACATTCCACGTCCTCAAAGCCGGCACCCCCGGGAAGCCCCTCGTGCTCTTCTGCCACGGGTACCCCGAGCTCGCCTACTCCTGGCGCAAGATCCTGCCCAAGATCGCCGAGGCCGGGTACTACTGCGTCGCGCCGGACCAGCGCGGGTACGGGCGCACGCGGGGGTGGCCGCGCCGTCAATCCTTCAACGAAGTCGAGCTCAACGACTTCACGCTGACGAACCTAGTCCGCGACCTCGTGTGTCTAGTCTATGGTCTAGGTTACGCGTCTGTGTACAGCGTCATCGGCCACGACTTCGGCGCCGTGAGCTCGGCCATGGCGGCACTTATGCGGCCGGATATGTTTCGGTCTACTGTTCAGATGAGCCATCCGCATCACCCGCCTCCATTACCCGGTGTGTCGAAAAAAGTAGATATTCAAGCTGAGCTTGCGAAGTTGAATCCGCCGAGGAAACATTATAAGTGGTATAATTCGAGCGCGCACGCCGCGCACGATTGGGATCATCCGGAGCAGGGGTTAGAAGCGTTTTTGCGTGGGTATTTTCACCTTAAGTCCGCGGACTGGGATAAGAATGACCCGCAGCCGTTGAAGCGATGGGATGCGAAGGAGTTGGAGGTTATGCCGGAGTACTACATCATGCGAGCGGAGCACTCGATGCCGGAGACCGTGGCTGCGAATATGGTAGGCGAGGACCTGACCAAAACCGAACGGTGGTTATCAAAAGATGATTTGAAAGTTTACTGCGAGGAGTGGGGGCGGAACGGGTTCCAGGGCGCGCTTAACTGGTACAGGGCTCAGACGGCGTCTACGCCACAGTCGGCTAGGGACATGTTGCTATTTGCCGGTAGCAGGATCGAGGTGCCATGTGTGTTCATCAGTGGGAAGAAGGACTGGGGGAATTACCAACAGCCGGGTGCTCTAGAAGCTTACCTAGATCCGAATTCTGTTAAGACGTTTTGTTTCAGGGGCGTGAAGTTTGTGGAGGGTGCGGGACACTGGGCTCAGCAAGAACAGCCAGAAGCTGTGATAAAGGAGATTTTGGCGTTTTTCAAGACCCTGTGATTTTCTAGTGGGATATGGGCACGATTATGGCCTCAAATGGTCGTTGCGTTTGTCGGGTTCAACTTGTGCGTCTACCTACATGTCTGCCTACTAATTGCTAGGTACAGGATATTAGGATGCATGGCTTATATGAGGGGATGTGATAGAAGAAGTTGAAGAAATAAAAAGAAATATTAAAAAAACACCGCACCCCGGACTCGAACCGGGAATCTTCGGCTGTGATTATATATATTTTTATATAATAGGAGACCGACGAGTTAACCATTTCTCTAGTACGGCCTTCTTGCTGGAAACCCTGTGGGTATTGATTAATGAACAGTCTGTTATTAAATTATATTAAGAGAAGGCACGAACGGCGTTTCTACGGTTGTTAATAGGCAACTGTTAGGCAACTGCTGGGCAGTTAGCAAGGTGATTAGCAAGGTAGATGACGTATATGCCTTGGGAAAGCCTTGTCACTTTTTCTGCAAAGTGGCAGGTGCGTGCCCAAATCGATATAGATACGGTATGGATGTATGGATTTATGCTAGGCAGCTACGGCTACTGTACAGCTGCCATCTGCACCTTCCCGTTCCACCAATACCTGCTCTCCTTTTTGCTTCAGCTTTATTCGAAATTCGCCCGATCTGATACGTGGCTATGTACGGCTGAGTCACAGACAAGCAAACAGTAACACCTAGTACGTGTATAATTAGAAATGTGATAGGTTTCTTATATGTTGTGGCAATGGTGTTGTGAGTTTTCGCCTTGATCTGCAATGGTCAAGCCGGTGCTCAACAATTTGGTACGTGATAGCCCCTCTTATGCCCATACTATTAGCTATTTTGAGAAGACCATATTATTGTATATCTCAATACTTGAAGTCAACTAAATTGAACATGTGTTATTGATAATCGCGAGGCTGAGTGAGTTAGTTTGTCGTGTTAACCTGTATGAACCGACAGCACGGACCCCTGAAGCCTCAACTATCATGAATTTACATTCTATGTCAGAGGTTGTCTTCATGGATAGCCAGCAACTGAAGTTCTATCCTGGAGGTCGGGTCTGCCTAGGGAGAGACCGCGATAGCTTTGATATTCTTAGGGGGAGAGGTTTGTTGGTAGCTAGCTTTGTTCATATACACCATGCTCTCTCCCAATGGGGTACTTGAGAGCTCCGTAAGCAACAATATCGGCATTTCATACGTATTTAGGTCACCCTCGTGGCCTTTTATACCGTCTTCCAAACAACACTCAAGTTTTCAATCATTCTTAAGGTCATGGATTCCTATTGCTATGGTTATGCCTCCTGGAAGGGGCTTCCTACATATTTGAAGGCGTTAAATATACCAACCAACCAACCAACCTACATATTTGAAGTTACAAACCAAGACCTGCATGTAATAGGAATTCTATGGAAAATATGGTCATCAAGGGAAAGCTTAGTCCGTCGGAAGGCACCATATGCCATGAGCATTCCGTTTGGGGCGTCTTGCATATCGAGTAGAGTCGGATAATGAGAGGTAGTGAGAGTGAACTCCTCATCACCGATATCAAGAACATTATTACCTCATACCTACTTCTTACTACCTAATATTCAAATTCTCTCGGTGTATAGATAGTACTCACGTGTATGATCGCAAGATATGACCGAAAAAATTATATGTCCACATTCTTGTGTCCCGTCAAGCCCCTATTGCAGATCTCATTCGTAGCAACCTTAAACATGCATATTATGCAATTTACTTAGGTACCTAGGTAATGGCAGTCTCGGATAACTACCTGCTAGCCAGGTATTTGCATCGCTCCCGTTGTCATAATCCAGGGTCGAAGCATAACAACCAGATCCCTAGCTGAATCGTCACGAGCACTTATATCAACGTTAGAAACCTTATTATACAATCATCAGGTTTATATATTATATACCTGCCATCGTACATCAATCGCATTCAGTTCATGAAGCATTCCTTGTCATCTTCAATCTATCGATATGTCTGAATGTTGTCGGAATAAACACACCTTCCACTGGAGCCTAGTAAGAGGGGATCGTATAAAAAGCCTACCGTATCGACGACATCATCGTCCATCACTAAAGTCCGCATATGCATATACATATACTAGTGATAGCTGCATCTAGGGTCACATCCGAGATCCAAAATCTTCTCCAGAATCATTAGTCTTAGTGGTCGGCATTGAGTCAATTCGCATTGGACACTAGGTAAGACTCTAGGGGTAGATCGAACATACTGATTCACATAGCCCAAGCCAATTCCGAAGATAATATATGATTTGGCAGATGAATTCCTAAGGGACTCTTGCGTCTATAAATTGAAGCTGTAGACCCGGGTCTTCATCCCGAATCTGGAACTTCTCATACATCCACATCAATCATCCAAACCCATCCAGAATACAGATTGCAACCAAACGAAGGCTTTTACTTCTCTTACCAAGACTCTAAAATGAAGTACTCATTCGCGCTCTTCACATTGGCCTCTGCCATATACGCTGCTCCCGTGGCCGAGCCTAAAGATCATGCTGCTCGCGCTATCTACCGAGTCGACCCGCTTCCCAGAAGTGATGACACTGCTCGTTCAGAAAATGAAGGCCATCTGATCCGTTCTGATCCTGGGGAGGATCCTTCCCTCTATGGTGTCAAGTACATCCTTCCATCCAAACGCGCAAAAGAGGAAGACACCTCAGTTCGGGGAGATAAGCGCTCCGGTAAATCATTCGTTAACTATGTATATGAGGATGATGACGAAGATGATAAGTCACTTGAGACTGTTGGGAAACGCTCCGAGGACTCCTCACTCTACCCTCCGGGCGGCTTCGGTTATAATCACAAACGCTCTGATGATGCCGATGCCGATGAGCCCTCTATATATGCTCCTATAACTCTACGAGTAAACAACGAGGGCTCTGAGAAGGACTCCAAAGTCTATGACGCTCTATGGTATTGAAATTATATACCGGGAAGGAAAGATATGGGAAGGAGAGCCTAGGTCTACGGGATAAAGGACGCACATTCGTTTAATGTTAATTTCAACTATAGTCACACCATTCTTTCAGAATGCTTGGATACTTGGATACAAATTTAAGTTGATACAGACCTTGATTAATAGTAGTATGAATGTGTAATTCGGTAACTTTTACTCGAGAATCATAGTCCGGGGAAAAAGAAATCGCGTTTTACCCCTTAATTACCCCTTTAAACTGAATTAAATTCTCACACGAGACAGTAACGATAAATTGACCAACTCAAGCAATAATTCTTGCATTAAGGATAATCAAGGCGATATGTTAATGCCATATTTTTCGTAATTGAAGTATTCGAGATTTGGTATACTTTCAGCCCAACCATCATCAATATGTCCTCGCTGCCGATCCCCCGCGGTCTCGATTATCCCGGTCCTCCCAGCTAACACGTCTCTCTCTTTTCCTTGATACTCGGCCGTCACATCTGGATGCGGTACCCAGATGACCCTCATCCCAGCCCGCCTTGCAGCTTCTACCCCAACCACACTGTCCTCAAAAACCAAACACTCGGCGGATTTGATATCCTTTCCACCGGGGTATATTATCGAGTTCAAGGACTCCAAGGCGACTAAGTAAATATCAGGAGCTGGCTTCCCCCGACCTCGTACCCGAGGATCATCCCCCAAAACGCGCCTATCAGGTCGGAAGAAGCTGAGAAGCCGCTTCGTTTCCGGCCGTGAGGTTTTCAACTGATAAGAGCGCGTCTTGGTACCAGATGCCAAAGCTAACTGAATGATATCCCCCGATGCATTACGCGCATGACTAAGGGCTTTTAGAAACTTTTCGGCGCCGGGAAGGGGTTCGCAGTTTGGGAAGTTGAGTCGCATTTGCTCGGCTGATTCACGAGCGAACTGCTCCCGGGAGATTGGCAACATGGCCCAGTTGTGGAATAAATCCCCGTTCGTTGAGTTTGGAATACCCATGAGACGAGTCCGAATGGTTCGCGTCAAGAGAGGCCTCTCGTATTTCTCGAGAAGTTGATTTATGGATAGTGTGATTATGTCCTCTGAGTTGATCAGAAGTCCGTCCATGTCGAATATACAGGCACGGATCGGAGGGAAGTTGAAGGAGGTCTCTGCAGCCATGAGAATTCGGTGAAAACTGTATACACCAGAATTTCGATTCAAGCTCGGTGAGGGGTAGTATAGGGAGCATCAAGTCTTCAACCTGGTTCGTGAGACATTCAGTTTTTAGATCGTATATACCGGTAGCTACCTACTGGGGAAGCTCCACGATGATAGGTATGATTAAGATAATTATTTAAGAATCATGGTATTTCCTAGCTATAATTCGTTGAGAAGGTACTCGCAGCTGGTTGGTAGATGAACTATAATCTACCTAGGTAGTATCCCCACGACTAACCTGCATACAGTATAGGTAGGTCGAGTGGATCAACGTGCTTTTATCCGGGCGGACCAACGCTCTTAGTTCAACTACCACTCAAGGAAAGGCGTATTTTGTCGCATAATCTCGACTCTACCATAATGCTTGGGACTAACACCTCACTTAGAACTAGAGTACTCATCAACTCAATGTTCTAATACCCGGATCACAGTTCGCGTATGAGGGGAACCTATTCATTTCGTCTATCTACTTCCATCTATTTGAAGATCTCTTCAACAAGGAAGTTAGCGTGATCAAATACCATTATCTCAAGTTAATCTAATTTCACTACTGTTCTCGACGACGGTCGAATTACCCTGGTTTTCTGAAAGAGGGTACCACGTATCCTTCTGGTCGCCTTGACTAGACTGATTGACGCTTTTACGTTTCACCGAGCTACGCAGCGAGTTGAAAATGCCAGTGAAGAATTCAGTAAAAGAAAAGGATCGTATAAGCGGACCATAGGTAGGAAGGCAACCGGCGATGACGGAGCAGCAGCTTTCCAATTCAGCCCAAATCACGTTGTTTACGGAAACGTCTGGTATTAGTTAGCGCATGTGGTCTGATTGAATCGAAGGTTGGGGGCGGTGGCCGGTACTTACAAGAGAACTCTTCATCAGATACTGGCCGTCCAGATCCAGCCTCGCTTAGCTTGTATCCAAAGTAAAGTCTCACAATAGTTGCAACGACGCAACTAAAATTCACGTTAGTTTCTATCCCTTTGGTATAATACACAAGGATCTTACAAGAAGCCCAACCAGAAGACACCTAGCAGCAGGAACTTCCGTCTCCTATTCATGTGCAAACTCCGAATGATTGGGATAGGAAGGCTCAAGATAACGATGTCGAGGGCGAGATCGATGGCTGCGAATGAGGTAAGGA